AGTCCTTTACCCTCCCCCCTCCAGGCCAACCTGAGTGAGCAGCAGGTCTCGTCCAACACGTTTATCAGGGCCCTGATGACGTCTGTGTGCCACTTGGCCATTGTCTGTGAGTACCAGGGTGAGGTGGGAGTGGTGGGGGTTCCCCTTCCCACACTGCCCCTCTCACACCCCATCCCCTGCAGTTGAGAACCCTTACCGTGTGGACGCCACTGTCATCCGCAACCAAGCCAAGCTGCTCCAGAAGTACCTGCGGGATGAGCAGAAGGAGCTCCAGGCACTCTATGCCCTGCAAGCCTTGGTGGTGAAGTTGGACCAGCCTCCCAGTGAGTATCGTGAGTGTGGGTGGGTTGAGGAGGAGGTGGCAAATGTATTCCCACCCCAGCAGGGTGGCTGGTGGCTGGAGAATAGCAGAAGTTCCTCTTTGTCCCCCCTACCCCAGACCTGCTGCGGATGTTTTTTGATGCCCTCTACGATGAGGACGTCATCAAGGAGGAGGCTTTCTACAAGTGGGAGTCCAGCAAGGACCCAGCCGAGCAGCAGGGCAAGGGGGTGGCTCTCAAATCGGTTACAGCCTTTTTCACCTGGCTCCGGGAAGCTGAGGATGAATCGGACAACAACTGAGCAGCTGTGAGGAGGAGGAGGAGGAGGAAGGGGGGAGAGAGAGTAGGGCACCCTAGGGAGTGACTCCATCCCTTCCCACCCCTGGCCCCCATGGACTTGCTAGGCCAGGGCTGATGCTGTGCCCCTTGAAGCCCCCCTCTCTCTTTTTTTCAGTTCTCCTCTCTCTTCTTCCTCTGTCCTGGTTCTGTTTGTAAGGCCTGTACGAGTTTGTCATGATGATAATAAACAGATGCTGACTGAGGCGGTGGCTGCCATGGGTCCCCTTGGGGACCCTCCTCGCCCCGCTCCCAGCACAGGCACACCGGGTCTCTGGGAGTGGGGCAGAGCACCCCTGGATTCATGTCATGGAGAGGGAGGGATGGGATGGGGACATATCTTTCCCCTCCTCTCCCTCCTCCTCTTTCTCCTCCCCCCTTCTTGATGAAATATAGAGAGATTATATATATATAAACTTATTAAATTTGGTTTGGGGACAGGAGCGTGATTTCTCCCCCTCCCCTGTCCTCTCTCTATTCCTCCATCACTGCCTGGACCCCCTCCCCTCTATGGTTTTTAAATTTTAAATATAAATCATTCCCCCTCAGCTCCTGCTCTGACACCTGGGGAGGGTGCCGGGGAGGAGGGGGGGTGGCCCCTTCTCTCTGGGCCAGGCTGTGTCCCCTCCACGACCCCAAAAGCCCTCATCCTCCTCCCAAACGTTAAAGGCCACAATTGGGCAAGTGACAGGGCGGCCCCCTCATCCGCGTCCCCTGTATTTATAGAGCGCCGGATGTGACGAGCCGCATGTGTAATTATTAAAACAAGGATTCAATTACTGGTCACGTGAATTTGTAAATAATTTTTTTTTTGCCTTTTTTTTTTTTTTCTTTATGGAGTATTTAATTGAAGATTTAAAGGCATCTTTTCACCTTAAAACTGGAAATAAAAGAACATTGCTAAATAATGCCCCGTGTGCCGCTGTTGCCGCCCCCCCCCCCCATGTCCCTTTTGCCTGGGCTGGTGTGGGGGTGCCAGCCTTGAGCATGGGCAAGGACCAGCCTCCCCTGTCACTGCAAGGCAGGTAGGTATCCCCCACTCCGGGGCTGGAAGGGGGGCAAGGGGGTTGGATGTGCCTGGAGCCAGGCCCCTTGGACTCCCCTTGCTGGTGCTGCCTGGCACTGGGTGTGTGAAAGTAGAACAGACAGCCCTTCCAGCAGCCTGGCTGTGGAGCAGAGCCCTGATGTCCCCAGATGTCCATTTTCCCACAGCCATGAGTGGTGGAACCTGCGTGGTCTCCTTGGGGCAGGAGCTGGGAGATTTGTGCCAGGTTCTCCCTACACCTTCCACTGTGGAAGGACATTTTTCTATCAGCCCTTCCTGGCCTTGTCTTGCAGTTGTAGTGGAGATGGGGCACAGCCGGCCCCTGCTGGGGTTCCCCTGTGGGGTATCCCTGGTATGCCTGCTGGGGATAGAGACTGGTCCCCCTTGGGGCTGGAGGCTGGTCGTTGTTGCCTTGGGCTACCTCTTGCTGAGTCACCCTGGCCATGGCCCAGAGGGTACAGAATAATTAACTGGAGGCTGTTCCCCAGATTAGAGGCTGATCTGTCTGAGCTGCAGCCCTGGCATCACTAATGCTGGGAAGCAGTTGGCAGGGAAAGGCCTCGGGATGGGGACTGGGCAAGAGCTTCCCCTGACTGGGAATGAGTGAGGAGGCCCTTTGAGCTGTTTGGGTAACCTGCTTGCCAAGAGAGAGAGAGGGCAGCACCGCAGTAGTGCCCTCCTGTGCCAGGGACCAGGTACCACAGCATTAATTGCCAGCAGCAAGTTTCAGAACGAACACTGGCTGACCCATCAGCGCTGGCCTGCATCTCCTGCAGGGGCTGTTGCTGTCAGACGTGATGTTCCAAAGCCTGCACCCACCTGTCCCCAACCCAGTTCCCTGGGGGCTGTGCCAGAGGCCGTGTGCTCCCTCCCGCACCACCGGGTCCTCGGGGGAGGGCAGGGGCAGGCGGGTCTGGGGCAGAAGGCTGCCCTATTTCTGCAGGGTCCCAGCCCTTGTCCCCCCGGTGGTGTAAGGGGCCAGGGGCAGGGCGGGGCGGCGCTGTCCGCGGTGCTGGCACGGCGCTCTCCGCGGTGGCCGGCCTTCTTCCCCTCCTCCTCAGCCCCCTCCTCTTCCTCCGTCCATCCTCCTCCTCTCCGCGCCCCCTCCTCTTCCTCCATCCCCCTCTTCCTCTTCCTTCAGCCCCCCTCTTCCTTCATCCTCCCTGGCTGCCTTCATCCCCCCTTCGCCTCTTTCCTCATCTCCCCTTCCTCCTCTTCCTCCCGGCCTCCCTCTCCCCCATTCTCCCCTTCCTCCCTCCCTCTCCCTCATCCTTCATCCCTCTCCGCCTTCTCTTTCTCAGCCTTCCTCCCGCACATTCTCCTCCTTTTCCTCCTCTTCTTCCCGCCTCCCCCTCTCCCTCCTCTTCCTCCCCCAGCAGTGACGTCTCTGGACGTGCTGCTCCCGGCCCGGCGCAGACACCGCTCGGGGCTCCGGTACCGCTCGGGTCTTCGGTACCGCGGCCCGGCCCGGCTCGGCAGCGGCTCCGGCGGGGCGCGGGCGCTGTCCGGGGCCGCCCATGCGGCCGGGGGGCGATGTGGGCGGCGCGGAGCCGGCGGTAGTGCCCGCACCGGGGCCCCCCCGGGAGCATGGGCTGCATCGGCTCCAAAACCACCATCGGTGGGTGAGCGACACCGGGATGGCACCGGGGACTGGAGGGGATACAGGGTCCTAGGGTATGGAGAGTGTTAGGGGAACTCGAGGGTGGGGAGGGGGATGTGCGGGGGCTGCTGGGGGCGGTCGAGGGGCTGGATAGGATAGGATAGGGATACGATAGGGGTGTGGGGAGGCTGGGAATATGAGAAGGTGGAGAGCAGGGAGCTGAGGGGGATCCAGGGGATGGAGTGCTGGTGTACGGGGACTGGGAGGCTGTGAGGGCTGTAGGGTATAGGGGATTATAGAGGTGGCGGCGGGGTACACAGAGATAATTGGGGTATCTAAGTATGTTGTGTATACGGAGAGCTTGAGGGCTCTGGAGGACATAAAGGGTGATGGGGGCTACAGATGGGTGGGGGGTTGGGAGCTGGGGGTGCTGCTCTGGGGCAGCTGGGTGGCCCAGGGAGTGCAGGGAGATTTGGGGGGATGTGGATGTGTAGAGGCTGGGGCGACTGGAGGGGTCAGACTGCAGTTGTGGGGGAGCTGGGGGGTGGGGGTGTGAGGGGAAAGGAGTGTGGGACTGGGTACTGGTAAGAGTCCTGGGAGGTTTTGGGGTAGCTATGAGAGAGATAGAGTTCTTCTGGGGGCTGTTGGAGGCTGGGGTTTGCTGCAGTGTGTGGGGTGCAGCGGGGGTGCTGCAGATGTCCTGGGGGTGCTGCAGGAGGGATGGGGACTGTGATCAGAGGGTGTTCTGGAGGCTGGGTTCGTGGGGGCTAGGACAGTGTTGGAGACATGCCGGAGGGGCCCTGGGGGTGTTGTTGCTAGGATGTCACCGCAGGGTGCCCCTGCCCACAGCTGGGAGTGGGGGCGATCCTCTCTGCAATTTTCCAAGGAAGCCAGGGTGTACCCTCAGAAGTGGGTGGGAGGCAGCACTTTTGAGCTTCCTTGTACCCACCTCACAGCTGGTTTACGTCAGTCAGGCCCACCTTGGTGCAGGGGAAATGAGACTCTTGAGGCATACCCTGTCTTGGCCCTTTTGGGACTGGCCTTTCATGGCAACTGCATTGACAGGAGACCCTCAGTGCTTGGGAGTCAGTGCCTGAGGGTGTGGGCACCCATCCATTTTCGGTGCCAGTGCCAGGAGGTCAAGCTGTTGAGGCAAAAGATGGGTGCAAGTGCTTTTACTGACCCTATCCCTTCTTGCTTTTTTCCCTCCTGACCCAGTGGCAGGGAATTGGAGAGAGAGATTTTGGAGATAGTGGAGGAACAGCAGCCTCCTGCAAGTATGGCCCAGTGCTGTCTCCCTTCACATACCCAGCACCTGGCCTGGTCCAGCCTGGTCCAGCTGCCCCCACCCCTCCCAGAGCAGCTGCCAAGCTGGGACAGGCGCCTGGTCCCCAGTGCCAGGCTGGGGATGTGCGTTACCGCTGACACAGGCGGAAGAGTTGCCCGGCTGTGAGTCACCAGTGCTGCAGCAACGAGTTGTGTCTGGTCTCAGACTGGACAAGAAACTGCTACTACAGGATCAGTGGGTGGGGGACTGAGAGAGCTGCTGTGGAAATGGAGGTGCTGGGGAAATGGAGGTGCTGAGGTTGGCCTTGGCTCTTCCTGCAGTGGCCGTGGACACGACGCTCTGTGTGGAGTGGAAGGAGGTGAAGGCACTGTCACCCCTGAGTGTTGCCCGCCCACTGCCCCGGCTGGTGCGCCAGGCCTCCTTCGACAGCCAGGACTTCCTCCAGGTACCACGGAGCCCAGCCATACCTGGCTGAGGTAGCCATGTGCCGGTACCCCATGGTGGGGCACCCATCCTGGCCATGGCCCTGCCAGCTCGCAGTGGCTCGGGGCTGCTCTGACGTCAGCCATGAGCCGGGCTGTATCCTGGGAGAAATCAGTCCACGGTGCCTCGTTGCCATGGCAATGCAATTTGTTGCGCGCCTCCAAATCCCACATCTCTTTCCCCGTGGCCATGGGCTCAGGGCCTGGCATGGCTAGGATAGCAGTGGGAACGTACAACTGGATGTCCTGGCATGGTGTGTGCTGCCAGGGAGTGAGTGCTGGCGAGCTGGGCTGTGGTGGTCTTGCACATGCATGTGTGTGTTCACAAGCCGGGGAGAGCACACACTTGTGTGTGACACCATCTAGCACAGGGCACATACACATGTGAGCGCACACAAGTGTGCAGATGCACGTGTGTATACAGTGGAGTTCTGATGTGAGTGGGCAGGTGCATGTTTATGGTCAGTTTGCGTGTTTGAGTGCCTGCCTGTGTGTGTGGGTACATGTGGTTACCTGTGCAGGTATGTGTACACAGTGTCAGTGTACGGGTGTACTGGCATTGTGGGAGTGTTCCCTGCTGTGACCATCCCTCTGCGCACACGTATGCCTGTAATGTGTGTGTGCACAAACTTCCCAGGCCCCCTGGAGTGGGCATCAAGAAGGGCCAAGCCCCCTCCTGGAGCATGTGGCTTCCAGAAAGAGAATGGTGCCAGGGCTGTGACCACTTTTCCCACTCTGGCAGGTCAATGTTGAGGACACTGTCGAGATGCTGCCCAAGTCACGGCGTGCGTTGACCATCCAGGAGATTGCTGCCCTGGCCCGCTCCTCTCTGCATGGTAACTGCTCACCTAGGGACTCCTCTGGGAAAGGGGGCTCTCCTGATGTGATGTGAGTCTGGGCCTCCTGAGGCGTGCCTGGGTGTCACCTGTATGGAGTTTTGGGGGGGCCCAGGGGGTTTCTGGTGGCACTCAAGAGGAGGGCATAGGGGTGCCAGGTCCCATGGACTGGAGGTAGAGGGTGCTGGGTCCCAAGGTTGTGGGCTCTGTGGTGAAGACTTGAGGTGCCGCAGGGCGTGCTGACATTGGGGCACATCCCACAGGCATCTCGCAGGTGGTGAAGGAGCACGTGACAAAGCCAACGGCCATGGCACAGGGCCGTGTTGCCCACCTCATCGAGTGGAAGGGCTGGTGTAAGCCAGTGGAGTCACCTTCTGCCCTGGAGAGCGCCTTCAGCTCCTACTGCCACCTTAGTGAGGGCGAGCAGGAGGCACGATTTGCTGCCGGTAGGCACCATGGGCATGGCCGGTGGGTATGGTCCCAGGGCAGGAGTGGTGGAGTGGGTTGTCCCCATTCATCCATCCACCCATCCATCCATACTATGGCACTATGGGCTTAGAGGTGCCAGGGCAGTGGGACTTTGGGAGCATCTCCCTGCATGTGTTTGATCCGTGCCTGTCCTGTGCCAGGTGTTGCGGAGCAGTTTGCCATCGCTGAGGCCAAGCTGCGAGCCTGGTCCTCAGTGGATGGGGACGACTCCAATGACGAGTCCTATGATGAGGACTTCATGCCCTCCACAGAGAGCTCCCAGCCCACCGGTAAGTGCCGCGGGGAGTGGGCAAGTTGTCCCACTGCTGGTGTGGGTGTCCCACCACTGAGGGTTAAAGGAATGGGATGCCTGCTGCTTGGCACATTCCCCAGCCTGGCCACTCCTATACAGGACAGTCCTGCTGCCTGGCACTCTGGCAAACAGTGCCTGAGCTGGGGATGGGGAAGCCCTCAAATCCAATCCGTGGTGCCAGAGCGTGTTTTACTTTTCCTTTGGTGGTTACCAGTGTCATGCATGCAGCAATTTGTGGGTAAAGCAGGCATGGGACTGCTCCCAATCTGCGGGGCACAGGGCAGGGGGCAGCAGACATCCCTGGTGCCCAGACTGACCCAGACATCCTCGTTTCTCACAGAGCTGACAGGCACGATGCCTGCCAGCGTGCTGCTGCGAGACCTGCTGCAGGGCCACCTGTGCCAACTGGGCGTGCGGCACGGCTCCTGCGAGCCCGAGAGCGACTCCTCACACACCCTCTCCCCTGAGACTCTCTGCTCCAGCCTCTGCAGCCTGGAGATGGTGTCCCCCTCCGAACTCACTGCCAAACTGCTGGGCTCCTTGGGGGGTGAGGACCTGCTGCTGCCCAAGCTGCCGCCCCCAGCCAGCCAAAGTGCCTTGCGGGGCCTGGCACGGCTCCGGTGCCAGGACTCCCTCTACTCCGTGTCCTACGCCGAAGCCTGTCTCTCGCCCACGGAGGACGAGGTGGTGCTGAGCAAGGACTTCCCACTCCGCCGGAAAATCTCTGACGTCGCCTCCTCCGGGGTGGCATCGCTGGAGGAGGAGGAGGAGGCCGAAGAGCCCTGATGCCTCCTGGGGTGCCCTGCCCCTCCTGGTGGGGGCCCAGGCCCCCTGCCGAAGCCCTCTGGCCAGACCCCACGCTGGGTGAGGGACAGGCCCTGCCGCTGCTCCCCCTCGCTATCCGGGTGCAGGAGGGGTCCGGAGGCCACTGCAGCCCCCCCAGCCAGTGTGCCCCCACCGTGCCCTGGCCCTGCTTGGCCACATCGTTGCCCTCCTGGATTTTTGCATGAGAGCAGGGAAGGGGCGCAGGGAAGGGCATGGGGGAGGGGGGGGTCTGTCCTCTGCCCTGATGCCCAGATGTGCCCCCAAAAACTGACAAGACTAAATAAGTGGGGCTGGTTGTTCGCATGTTCTCCCCCAAAACCACCCTGGGCTCCCCTTTTGGGCACAGTTCCCTCTCCCCCACTGGCATGGCTGAAACTCTCCAATCATCCTGTGGTACCTCTACCACCCCGAGCCAGGGTGGTGGTGGGGGTTTCGGTGTGGGAAGGGCTTTTCTCCTCTCTCCCTGGCCAACTTTTATTGGACCGAGTTTAAAACTGTGAACTGCTGCCTTGGAGCATGGAGCTGCTGGAGGGATGCTGTGGGGGTGCCAGGGGTGCTGAGGGGCTGTGGATGTGCTGCGGTGCTGGGACATTCTATAGTTATGTACGTGCATGGGGCTGACACAGGAAGACTGCAGGGCCAGCTGGGCGCAGGTCCCCAGGCTGGGGGCTTTGGACCACCAGGAGAGCAGCCCCAATCCAGCCCTGCAGCAAGGGGGTCAGCCCAGCCAGGGGTCCCCAAGTATGCTGTGAGGCAATGCAGGGTGGAGAGAGGGGGTAGGACGTGGGACCAATGTCCCTGTTGACAAATCACTCACCCCTAGCAGGGAACCAAGTGCCTACATGAAGGGCAACCAGCCCCCGCTGTCCTGGCTGGGGGTGGCACCCCCAGGGGACCCCTCAAGCCCGTGTGAGGGGTTCCAGGCACATCGTTTGGGGGAGGAATGCCAGTTTTTGCCAACGCTTGCGCGCCCCTTCCTGCATGGCACGTGTTCTCGTGGGGCCACTCTCCTCCTGCATGCTGCTCCTTACCCAGCCCAGTCACTGTTCCCTGTCCCCACACCCCGGGATGCCTCCTAGCACCCACTGCACCTGTGCTCCCCTGCATCCCCCAGCACCCCCACCAACCCCTGCCGGGCACAGCTCCTGGGCTCCCTCCCTGCCGTGGGGTGCCCGGTGTGAGGCTGGCACCCCCTGCCCTGCATCACCGAGGGGCTGCAGGGGCCAGCAGGCCCGACACCATGCTGATGGCTCCCTGCCACCCACTACCACTCGCTCCCGGGGGCAGTGGATGCTCCCCACGGTGCTGGGATGGGCTGGGGGTGCGGGGTGCCTGTGGATGGTTGGGGGTCTTTGCTCTGTGTGTGTGTGCATGTGCACACCCGGGAGCGCATGGGCATGTGCACGCATGTGCATATCTGTGGGAACTGCCTGAGCCCCCCGCCCCGCTGAGGCGGTACCTGTGGAGTATCCGTGGGGTGCCCACACCATGGCACCCCCTCCTCCATTCTGCCAGGTCTTGAATAAAGTCAATTGTGCGAGCACTGCGCCGGGCACCTCTTCTTGCAGGAGGGGGGCACCTCCTCCCCAGGGAGCCTGCAGGGTGGCAGGCCAGCGGTGGCAGGGATGCATCCCCCTCTGCGGCCCCACAGGGTGACGGAGGCCTCGTCCCTTATCTCGCATTCCTGCGGACAGGGTGCCTAATTATGGGCATCTGGAGGTGGTGGCTGGCGGGCGGCTGGACCTTCCCCACGGCAGGGCCCTGGGGGGTTCGGGCAGCAGGCGCCATGGCATCGCTCAGCTCAGCCTCCACGTACCGCACCGAGCTGCTCAGTGCCTACGGGCAGGGGCACAGCGATCCCCGCTTCGAGGGCGACCGGCGGCATGGACCCTTTGGGGCACGGGGACAGGAGGCGTTTGGGTACCCAGGTACCGGGCGTGGAGGGTGGGGTTGCCCTGATACCCTGGGGGAGCCCTGCTACTCTGGGGATGGTCCCCTCCAAGGTGATCCAGCTGATCTGTGCCTGGGGACAGCGTAGGACCCTCCCCCCAGCACAGGTGGGAGGGCTCAGAGGGGAACCTTCACTGCGCCCCAGGTGCCCCATGGCTCTCTGGACTATCCTCCAGCTCTTACTCCCCAAGTACTTTTGTGCTCCCACTGTAAGTCCCCAATAACCCCAGTGTCCCTGCTCTTCCCAGGACCACCATGCTGCCTCATCCCCCCTCCCCAGACCCTTTTGATCCTCCTTTTGTCCCCAACCCCCCCCATAGCTTTTCCTCCCCAGCCCAGACCATCCTGATAAGTCCTCAGCTCCCCTGTGCCCCCCACCCTTTGATGTCACCTGCTAGGCCCCCACCTCCTTGTACATCCCCAGTAACTCCAGTGTCCTCCTCCTGCCCAGCCCACTTCCCCCAGACTTTCGTGGTTATCCCCAGTGTCTTCACTGTCTTGTGCCATTCCCTCCCATACCTCTGGGACCCCCAGTTCCCCTTGCAATTCCTGAGAACCTTGAATATCCCCAAACTCCCACTGCCATCTGCTATGCCCAGCCCTCCCTCCCCCAGTGTCACCAGACTCTCTCACACTCCCCTGTGCTACAGCAACCCTCCAAATGCCCACAGAGTCCCCAGGTACCATGTACCCCTGCAGCCTGGGCACCTGGGTGCGTGCCCAGGGTGACACCTACCAAGTAGTGGCTGACGTCAGCCAGTTTGAGCCCCCTGACATCGTGGTGACCACCTCCAACTGCCATGTCGCCATCCAGGCAGAAAAGGTGAGGCACCTGAGGGGGCAGCATCCCCTCCAGCCATGGCACAACGGGGTTCCTGTCCCATGATACCCGCTCCTGTGGGTGGCAGGGATGGGGTGGTAACTGGGGAGCTCTGCCCTAGTGATGAGACAACAGGTAACTCCTGCTCTACTGCACCTGTCCTGTACTGGCATCACTGGGAACTGTCCTCACTGAGAATGGGACAATGAGAATGGGAACCCCTGCTCCATTGCCCTCTCAGCTGGAGGTGGCAAGTGGCAACAGTCCTTGCTGGCACTGGAGTACCTGGAATTTACCCCAGAAGCCAAGACTTGGGCAGGAGAGGCCTGCTTCCTTCTGGCAATGGGGTAACTGGGAATTGCCCTGGAATCACTGGGATCTTTCCTGTTGAACTCCTTGTTGGAGCCAGGGTGACTGGGAGTTGCCCCATTAGAAGCATTAGGGTAACTGGGAATGTGCTGTGGAACCCACCATGCCACACTGTGTTCCACTGCACTGGTGCTGCCTCCCTGCAGGTGGCTGAAGATGGCACCGTCTGTGACACCTTCACCCACAAGTGCCAGCTGCCCGAGGACACGGACCCGCTGTCGGTGAGCTGCACCCTCACCGAGACTGGCACGCTGGTCATTACTGTCCGGCGCCGTGCCACTGCCAGCCCTGGGCATCCCCCGCAGCTGCTGTACCGCAGCGAGGCCATGCTGTGAGAGGCTCTGGGGGACAAAAGGCTCCTTGCCTGGAGTGATGCCAACCCCAGCACTGTGGTGAAGCTCAGCTGGTGCCCACTGGCTGTGCCCCTCTCCACCGCCAGCCCCATAGTGCTTCAGCTCTGTTTATAAAGTCCTTTTATTAAATTAATATAAAAATCTCTGTATTTACATGGGGAGAAGTGCATGGCAGAGAGGCAGCAGCACCCCATGTTCCCAGCCATGAGGTGCTGAGCACAGGGGGCAATGCCGACCCATGTGCCCATGGACACCCCAACCTGATGCCCCTGTCCACCCCATGCCACCCTGAGAAGGGACATTGTGGTCCTCATGGAGAGTCTGAGGGCTGTGGCCATTCTGGGGGGCACCAGGAAATGGGGGGATACAGAGGTAGCAAAGTGGGAAGCCCCAAGAGCTGGCAGATAGTTGGGGAGGATGGGCTGGCTAGGGGGTATTTGGCTGGTCCCCAGCCCAGGGACGGAGCAGAGGCACTGGATTGAGGGCGCCCACGCCTCTGCAGAGCCTGGCATCAGTGGGCTCAGGGAGGGCAACCCCCGGCACCTGTCAGGGGGCCCTTGTGGCTTCCAGGGACACAGGGGGATGTATCTCAAGAGTCTCACTCGCCCTTGGGGGTGTCATCATCATCATCGCCCCCAGGACTGGCCTCGCGGGGCATGTGGTGGTGCTGGTGGCGGTCCCAGAGCTGGCGCAGGGCGGTGGTGTCAGCCTCGGTGGTGCTGGCGGTGCTGTCGCGGAAGCTGGCGAGCGGCGGGCGCACCTTCACGCCCTTGCCCGTCAGTGAGCCCTCGATGGCCTTGCGCAGCTGCAGGGACCCCAAACGCATGGGCAAACAGCTCCAGGTGCTGCTCTGTGCCCCTCCAGCCTCCCTTGTGTCCCCTGCTCACCTCTTTGAGGGACACCATGCCCACCAGCCGCCCAATGCTGGTGACAAATGCGTGGTCCAGGCCCAGCAGCGAAAATATGGTGTGGGTCTGCAGGAAGAGGAGACTGAGTTGAGGGTCTGGGGGTTGTGGGTGGGGGTCTGGGGTGAAGTAGGGTGTGGGTGCACCTTGTGCAGTGAGGTGTGCTCCACCAGCTGGAATGGTGCGGGGTCGATCTTGGCACTGCTGAAGTCCACCAGCTGGTCTAGCTGCTGTTCTTCCCACTCCAGGATCTGGGGAGGTGCCATTGGGCAGGGTTAAGGGGTACAATCTCCCCACAAGTGCCAGCAAGCGCCCTCCTATCCTCCTTACACCCAGTGTTATGGAGAAACCTGGGTTATCCACTCCCTACCTCCCCATGCCCACCTCATGCCCTGGCACCCCTTTGGGATGTCTGGGATGCCTTTGAGTAGGAGGGTCCTGCCTGTCTCTGCCCAACCCCTCACCTCTGCTGGAGTCATCTTGTCACCCAGAATCATCTCCTCCTGCAAGAGAGGTGCGTTACAGCAGGCGGTGGGTGCATCCACATGTTGGCTGCAGCGAGGGTGCAGGCAAGGTGCAGGCAGGCTGCAGGCAGCACATGCAGTGAGGGTGCAGCGAGGGTGCAGGCAGCACATGCAGGCAGGGCACAGGCGGGGCATGGTGAGGGTGCAGGCAGGGTACAGGCAGCACATGGACAGGTCAAGTAACATGACTGGTTGACAGGACGTCGGTCACACCCTGATTGGCCACAGTTGGACAAGGTGAGCTTGTGATTGGTGGAGAGAATGCACAGATTGCCATGACTAGCTGAGCAAAGTGGGGCAGATCCCGCGGTTGTGATGGCTGGGAGGGTCCACGTCCCAATTCTTGGGAAGCTTTGGGATGGGGACAATGCACACCAGTATTGGTTGGACGGAATCATAACTGTCCAAGATGGACTGCACAGACATAGGCCCAATGTGATTGGCCAAGCAGAATCTTGCCAGGCCCCTGATTGGTTCAGAGAACTCCTTCCAGGCTCTGATTGGCTGGGAGGAGCTGTGCCCAGGCTGCGATTGGCTGCAGCTTACCACAATGGAAATGCGGACGCGTTTGGCCTTGTGATAGGCTGTGCCCTGGGCCTGGCCCGCAGGAGAGACAGCAGTTAGTGGATGGTTAGTGGATGGGATGGGATGGTTAGTGGATGGGATGGGATGGGATGGGATGGGATGGGATGGGATAGAAAATGATAGAAAGGGATGGAAGGGCCAGGCAGGACAGGGCAGGGCCTGGCAAGGCCATTCAGGCATGGGAAGGGTGGGGGAAGGCCAGGCTCTCACCTCGGTGGGCTCTGTGGAGGGGTTGGCACAGAAGAGGCTCTTGAGGGCGATGCCAGTGTGGTCAGTGCTGCCAGCTGCAGGTGGAGAGGGGATGTCAGCGGTGGAGACACAGGGGGGCCGGGGGGACACATGCAGACTCACCTGGGGGACTGTCTGGTGGGCTGCTGGGCACCCGCTTCAGCGCTGGCTTCAGGGGCTTGCGGAGTGCAGGGCGGGCAGGGGTCCCCGAGGAGGTCTCTGTGCTGATCTGTGGGGGGATGGGATAGTAGGGTGATGGCAGTGGGGGCCACCCTGACCAGGCATCCCCCAAGATGGTTGCACCCCTCACCTGGAAGCGGATGCTGGAATCGGAGAGCCGGTGCCCATCCTCAGACAGCACCTTCTGCCGCAGCGTCATGAGCCGGCGCTGGGGACTGAGCTGGCTGCTGAGCAGGGCCCCCACCTGCGTCCGCTCAATGGAGCCCAGCAGGATCATGGACTCTGCCAGACACAGCAAGGGGCTACCTTGGCTTCTGATGCTGTCACCCACCCACCATCCTGGTACACTCCACAGCTGCTGTGGATGCTGAGAGAGCCTCTGCCTGTGCCTCACCAGCTGACTCCACCAGAGGCAGGTTCTTCATCTTGGTGCTGTGCAGGACCTGCTGCAGGTCCCGGTACTTGCAGTTGAGGGTGACATAGCGGATATCCCGCACCATGATGTCCTCCACCCGCACGTTGTATTTCCTGCCCAGGGACAAGAACAGTGGCCTCAGAGTGATGCCACCCCCTCCCCTTGTGCCTGGTGAGGGGTTTGGGGTTGGAACAGGGGACACAAACTCACTCGTGGTGGCCCCAGCCCAGCTCAGGGAGGTAGGGAAGCTTCTTGATGCGGATGATGCTGTCGTAGAGAGAGGGCTGGAGGCTCTGGGCGACGGCATTGGCCAGGATGACAGCGATCATGACAGGCAGGATGTGCGAGATTTGCCCTGTCAGCTCGAAGACGATGACGGCCGTAGACACCGTGTGGGTGACAGCACCTGACAGTGCAGCTGCCCCTGCAGCCACCAAAAGGAGACAGGGAGGGCTGTCAGGTATTGCCCACCAGCCTAGGTCCCCGCTCTGGGTCCTCCCCTCTAGGGCATCTACCACATCTGGAGCCCTTGGAACCATCCAGGGAGATCCCCAGTGGTGGTATCACCCCCAGTTCCAGGGATCATCACCTCACCTGAGAGGCAGCATCTCCAAATGATGCCCACCATGGTGTCCCCATTCCAGCTCAGTGCTTACCCACCACGGCGTAGCCCCCCGGCACGATGCGGTAGATGTTGCTGTCCGTGTGGATGCCATCAGGGAACCAGGCTGCCATGCTCTCCCCCACCAGGCGCCCAAAGGCTGCCCCTGCAGGCAGAGAGGGGCTGGGAATGGGCACAGGGCTATCTCTGCACCTGGCCCAGCCTCTTGCCCTCTTCTCTGCCCGATGCTTCCAGGGAAGGGGACATCTGGAGGCACCCACAGATGCCCAGTGTGGGCTGAGAGGTGGCTCCCTCCTCCCACTGTGCCCACACAGGGTGCAGAGTCTCACCAATGACGAAGACAGGCATGAAGGCTCCACAGGGCACTGGGATGGTAGTGGCCAAGGCTGACATCCAGAACTGTGGGGCAGACACCCATTAGTTGCCCTCCCTGACCCAGCCCTGCCTCCTGCCCCTGCTGTGACCCTCAGATGGGTGCTGTGGAACAGCACGTGGGCACCACACCCTGCATGGGGCATGGGCTCCTCCCAGGGGCACCCTGCCAGGTCCTCCCTGGTGGCACTTGGTGGCATCTGGCCAGCACCTCCCTGGTGGCACCTAAGAGCAAGCAGCCAGAACCTCCCTGGTGGCATGTTGGTGGCTCTCGGCCAAATCTCTTTGATGGCATGCCAGCACCACCCAGCAAACACCTTGGTAAGACTCTTGGAGCAGCCACCCAGTACGTTCTGGTGCCACCTTTCTGGTAACAATCTGGCACCTCCCTGATAGCATCCAGAAAATCCTCTCTATAACCTCCGTGTAGTACCTTGGGGATGACAGGGGAAGTAGGCACCCACCTTCATGAGGATGAAGACAACAAGTGTGACAAAGATGTTGGAGCGGGGATGGTGCCAGGCTTCCAGGATGCCCAAGTATTCGAACTCATCACTGATCCCCTGCTTGGCCCATGTCTGGTTGTCAAAGAGTGTCACCAGGGTGTCCTTCTGTGTGAGCTGGTGATAGGCAGGGGTCAGCTGGTGCTTGTGGTGGCCCTGGGATGGGGACTGGTGTGCCACCCCATGGCAGATACCTGGCCAGCCATGAATTGTCCAAAGCCGGGTGGGAAGGTCAGCGTGGAGATGATCAGTGTCACCAAGGCAGGGAAGAGCAGGCGCCTGGCAGGGCGGCACAGGGCAGGGGGTGATTTTGGTGCAGCCCCAGCTCCACCACCCCAGTGCTGGCGACTGTTGGGCACCTACTTCTTCATGAGGAAGCGATTGATGGTCTTCTGGCGGCGCATGAACTGCACAATCTTGCGGTTGAGGTAGACGAAGAGTGCGCCCCCGAAGCCGCTGGCGATCCTGGGCAGAGCCAAGGGAAGAAGCGTCCTGTTGCCACCACCAGTGCCACCACTGCCACCCCCCGGGCCATAGGATGGGTGCTGGGATGGCCGCACTCACCCGATGACGGCAAAGGCAGGCAGCTCCTGCAGGTCGAAGGGGAAGTCGAGGCGGAAGCGGGTTTTGAACAGTGCCGTGATTGTCTCTGGGGGATGGTGGTGGTCAGTAGGGCTGGACAGGGGACCCCTGTGCCCTCACCCTGCCTGAGGTACCTTCATCCTTGTTCCAGACAGCAAGGACACGGAAGATGAAGGCGCTGAAGGTGGCAGCGAAGAAGCCACGCCAGTAGTTGCGGACGGCAAAGAATGTGGAGGTGACCTCGATGCTGAAGAGGACGCCTGGCATTGGGGGGAAGTGCACAAGGGAGGTGGAGAAACCTAGACAGGCCCCCGGTGCCTGGCATGCTTCCCACCCTGAGTCCAAACTCGTGCACAGCCCATGGGGTCTGGCTGCCCCATGGACACACTACGGTTCAAGGGATTCCCTGGCAAAGCACGTGGCCAGTCCCAGCTGGGCACAGGGGACACAGCACAGTGGGCCAAGCACGAGTCTGTACGAGCAGAGGGTAGCACAGGGATGTGGGCAGCGACATGAGGAGTGGCACTGGGATGGAGTGGGGTGCACACAGATGGACAGACAGACAGATAGGGCAGCAGGCAAAGGGCAAGGAAAGAGTCAGACACATCACCAACCTACGGGCAGGGCTCAGCGGGACTGGAGTGGGGAGCTCCCTGGAGCGCAGGGCGGCAGGGGAGAGGACAAGAGCAGACGTTACACATCTGGGAGGAGGTGCCCGCTCCTCCCTTCCTCCTCCCTGCTGAGCAGCACTGCCCTCTCCCATGCCAGCTGTCCTGAGGGTCCTGCTTGCCTCTCCAGGTGGACCCTGCTGCCTGGGCGGGAGGTGTGGGGGGTGTGGGGAGGCCCGGGGTGACCCTACCTCCGATGGGGGCGGCGAAGCAGCAGCCAACACCGACAGCGCAGGCAGCTGCCAGCATTTCAATGTTTCTTGCCTCATTCTGTGAGGAAGATAAGAGTGAGTGGGCACTGCCCTCCCCAACCCTAGGCACTGCCAAACCTGCTGCTGGGCATAGGTTGATCCTCCTGGATCCAGCCTGCCTTGCTTACCTCATAGAAGCCCCCGAAGAGGGAGAGGAAGCGGCTGAGCAGGGCTGCACACATGCTGGCGATGTGGACAAAGGGACCCTGCGAGGACAACAGGAGTTTGGGACACTGCCCTCAGCCTCACTCCCTGGCCTCCTGCTCACCCTGCCCCAGCACTGTCCTCACCTCCTTGCCCAGGGGCATGCCGCTGCCCAGGGCACACGTCAGTCCGATCACCTTGGCCACAAAGGTTTTGAGGGTGAGGTACTCCTTCAGCACGACGCCCCGCAGGATGGTCTTCATCTCGGGGATCCCTGAGCCTGGTGACGTGAGGACAGCCTTGACCAATAGCCATGAAGGGGGGACGCTGCCCCATGGTTCTGGGGGGTAACCTTTGATACTCTGCCAAACCCCACTGCCACAGGGAGATCCCAGAGACACCTCTTCCCACAGTACAATTGGCAGGAACAGCCCCATGATCATGTAGGCACAGCTCAACCCATAGCCCCATGGGGACTCCAATCTCATAGTCCCCAGGAGACCCTCTGAAGATCAAGTCTTAGCCCTAGAGGACCCCAAAGCCTGCTAGCCTCATAGCCCAGGAGGACATCCACCCCTTAACTCACAGGAGACTCTCTGAAGACCCTCTCTTTCATAAGCCTTAGAAAATTCCCAACCCCATAGCTCAGGATGGCATCCAAACCATAGTTCCCAGGAGACCCTCTGAAGACCAGCCCACACCCCTAGAAGGACTACCAGGACCTCCAGGGAGACACCCTGGCAGCTCCCAAGGCACAGACCCAGGGAGTGGACACCCTGTTTAGGGTGCAGGCAACCCCTCGATGCCCTACCCACGGCCTGGGGGGCAAGGATCTGGGTGAATCCAGCGGAGAAGGTGATGAGCACAGTGGGGTAGGTGACCCAAGCCATGTACTGCAGCAGCACGTTGGTGTCCAGGCCTCCGTACATCCACTTCTGAGCTGTGGGAATGGCCGGTCAGATGGGTGGCAGGTGGCAAGGCACATGGCATAGCCCTATGGCACGGCCACTCCCTGCCCTGCCACGGCCCAGGAACCCACTGGTACCCACTACTTACCTTGGAGGCACGTGGCAATGGCGAAATCCATGGCCCAGCTGACCAGTGCCATGACCAGTCCCAGCAGTATGAGGAAAACCCAGTCCTCGCCCACCTTGGAGATGAGGAACCGCTGGCACTGCAAGGCGCAGACTGTGGACACAAGGGCGGGTTCAAGGCTGGATGCCCCAGGGATGGGCACACTGAGGTGGCAGAGGCAGGCTGGCAGCAACAGAAATGCTCACAACCAGCAGCATTGACCCAGCACTGCTGGTACTGTCTGGTGCAGGAGCACTGCTATGTCCAGCTGTCACAGCCAGCTGACTGCACACAGTCACACACGGCACCACTGGGCATGCACCTCCCACCAGCACAGCCTCCCTGGCATGGCCCCAGGTAGAGGGGCTGGGGCCCCCCGGTCCCTGCAGTGTGCCCGGCTATTTCGGGCCATTGTGTCCCTGCTGCCCGGCGGGCAGGTGGCATTGTCCTCGGCGCCGGTGTCCCATGACAGCAGAGAAACTCTATCTGCACCACGGTGGTGGTGTGGGCAGCCGTGTCCAGACTGTGTCTCCGTAGGGCTGTGCCCACCCATGCCCGTGTCCCGGTGATCCTTACCACGACAGGGGCCACAGCGGCCCTGGCTGTACTCCAGCAGCTCCGAGGGGCGGCGGGGCCGGGGCGTGTCCCCCTCCTGCAGCCGCAGCCGGGCTGCCTCATCCTTGGCAAAGGTGCCCAAGTCCTGCGTATAACGCCCATACATCTGGGGGAGAAGGAATAGGCAGGGGTGTCAGGGCGGCTGGTACCCCAACCTCTGCACCCAAATGGGGAAACTGAGTCAGCGGAGCAGTGGGCATACAGGGGAGCAGTGGGCATACAGGGGAGCAGTGGGCATACAGGGGAGCAGTGGGCATACTGGCAGGGCCTGCCAGGTAAGGGAACAGGCACGGCATCCCAAGGCAAAGGGGTGGAGGTTCCTGTGGGAGTGCCGGGCTGCCCTCCAGGGCGTGGGAAGGAGCCAGGCAGATAAGGCGAGTGTGGATCGATGGTGATTGTTTTGCCCACATGCCCAAAGCAGGCAGCTGAAATGTCGGTACCAGTCTCTGGCCCTGCCCAGGTGCCCCAGGCACCGGACTGGCTGGTGGAGGGTGTGGAAGGGCCTCCAGTGACGGGAGCATGGCCAGCTTGGCCAGAAGACTCTCTGAGGGCTGGCATTGGGGTTGTGCTGGCTCTCTGCAGGCACCACACCCCGACATTGCTAAGAGCAAGGCTGAGATACTCCCCCAAAAGCAGCCTTGGCAGATCATATGTGACACGAGCTGGCTGGTCTCAGCTGGCAGCAGGGAGGCAAGAGGACAGCAGGGGACAGGATGTACCCCCAGTTCCAGGAGAGGGGGAGCACAACGTCAAGCTCAGGGTGCTCCCTGGGCTGTGAAGAGGGGGTTTAGGGATCAAAGCAGGGGGCGAGCGGCTCTATGCTCACATAGGGATCACCCCCCTTTCCTCGGGTGCCTCCTGCCTGGCTGTGGCACGTGGCCTGGCCCTGGCAGGGGGTGGCCCTGGCACTGCCCCTTCTGCCGGCCAGGAGCTCTTTGTGCCCGTCCTCCCCGCTGAGCCGGGGGCATTTGTCCCGCGCTGGCGGGCACTGCCAAGGACTCGGTTGCTTGGTTTCCGCCTCACTCCCCCCGGCACGACCTGAATGCCAAGCGCCAGAGGTTGTCCCGGCACAAAGAGAGGCTTCAGGGCCGTGGGGGCCCTGCCAGGCTCCCACGTCGGGACAACGTGAGCCCCATGCTGATGGCGTGCCCACCCGCCGTGCCGTGCCAGCGCAGCGCGTGGCTGCCCAGCCGGGGCGCAGCCGCCTCCTCCCGGCACGGTCCGTGCGGCGCCCGGCGGAGGGGACACGCCACGGGTGGGCACCGCGCTCGGCACGTGGGCAGCCCAGCCCCGGCTTCGGGCGGCACTGCCCACCCCGGATGCCTGGGGCCCGTTCACAGCCCCCTGGCCTGCTGGCACATGACAGCTCCCCGTGGGGGGCGGCGTGAAGGTGCGCTTCTCACGGCGCAGCGCTCCTGCCCAGGTCCCTTTGGTAGAGAGCAGAAAGCAGTCAGAGCGGCGCCGGGTGGATTCTCTGCTGTCTAATACCCGGGTTGTGCCCAGCAGCGGGAGGGAGGGAGGGGATGCAGGCAGGGAGAAGAGAATTAACTAAGTTACATCGCTGACCCTGTACTGGCATGGATTTTCCCCCAAACTCCTGCTCAGCATGGGCTCAGTGGCTCCTTGCCCTGTGGAAAAGAGCTGAGGGGAAAGGCACGACCACCTTGAGGGGCCAAATCCAGCATCTGCTGCCAGAGGAGGACCCCGGCCCCTCATGGGGTCTTGATTTCAAAGGCTCCCTTCGGAAAAAGCTTGTTTGCTCTGGAAGATGAAATGGGCCGGCACCCCAGGAGTGCTGTCACCCTGCCAAGCTCTTGCCTGCCTGGCCCCACTGCTGACCCATGGCCAGCCAAAGCCAAGAAGGAAGCACTCCCAGGCTGAGTGTCCCCCAAACCAGCTCTGTGACTACCTCCTGGGGCTATGCCAGGGGCTGCCACATTCTTCCCCCCCAAGTGTTGGGGCACGTGGTGGGATGCCCAGTCCCAAGGGCTCCAGCCTGGTGGTGGGATTTGCTCCCTCTCTGCCTCACTTTGGAACCGATCTCACTTGTAACAACAGGGATGCAAGCAAAGGGGTCATGCCACCCTGCTGCCACCTGCCAGCCTGTGCCATCCCATACCACCCCTCTGCCCCATGCCACAGCCCCACAGGCAGGGCATGAGACCCCCACGGGTGCCCAGTGCTGAGAAGCCACAGCTACTGTGCCCACAGCCCTGGCATGGCTGTGAAAGCTAGTGGTGGGCTCTCTCCTTCCTCCTCCTCCTCCTCCTCCGCTTGGGTTATTTTTCCACAAAGGCCTTTTGAAACACAAACAGCCCCGGGACTCCGGCCTCTGCCGTGAAGCAGCTGAACAATCACAGTGCCGGGCGGGCAGGGAGCGGGCACGGGGGGGGCTGGCGGGGGGCACTCGGGGACACGGGCACTGGCCATGTGTTGGTCCTGGGCTCCTGCGCTGCAGGCACCGGCTGTGCCACAGCCCTTTGGGCATTGCCAGCCCATGGTGCCCGCTGTGCCCCGGCGATGCTGCGCCTGGGGAGGGCACTGGCATCTGGTGCTGTCGTGTCCCCGTGCCAGCCTGTTCCACAGCACTGAGCTGGCCTGGCAGTGCTGCCCACCTTCTCATGGCCAATGCCAGCCAACCTTCCCCCCCAAATTTCCCCTAGGGGAGATATTTAAAGGCAAGGGGTTGGGGGTTCCTCTGGGCTGGCAGTGGGCAGGCAGAGGCCGGGGGATGTGTGTCACGCTGCCCGTCTTAGCTGGGCTCTAATCGCCCTGAGCAGCTCTGCAAGGAACAAGGGCAGTTTGTCAGGCTTAATCTCCCCCATGAGGCCCGTTGCTCCCTGCCACGACAGCCTGGCATGTGGGGGACACTGGGGCTGATGTGCACCCCAGCACCCTCGGCATGCCAGGGGTTCCCACAGACACCTGTCCAGCACGGGGACCTTAGGGTGGGACACCTGGGGAGACCTTTAGGTCTGGGGCCCCAAGACCCATGACATCCCAAGGCTGGTGAAATCTGGGGAGGGGAAGGGCACGAGATAGGGACACAGGCCTTTGGACATGGCTGGGCACAACCCTGCAGCCTGGCTGTGATGGCTCGGCTGTGGGCTCAAGCACCAAAAGCTGTTTCCAGGCTGTCCAGCTCAAACCAGTCCGTGCCAGGCTCCAGCTGGATCCCGGCACTCCTGGCAGGTGCTGGCAGGAGCTGGTGGTGGCTCAGATGCACCGGGGAGGGCTGGGCACTCCTCCTGCCCAGCACGTGCCCAGGCAGCTCCCAAAGCGCAGGTGTGAGGCTATGGGACAGGAGCCCACACCCAGCCTCACCCACGAGCCTCAGGTGCTTCCATGAGCCTCACTGAGCCCAGCGGCCATGGGGATGGGCACCATGGAGCACTCAGGGCATGGGTGCTACCCTGCCCAAAGAAAAGGAGGGCAAAGTCTGCTTGCTGATGCCGAGCGCGGCTGCCCTGATGCCAGCCCAGCGTGCCTCTCCCCTCACGCGCTGCCCGCAGGCTCCTCCGCCCCATGGTGCCCGGCTGGGATGGCCTCTCTGCTCACCCACCGTGACCAGGGCGCCCAGGAGCTGGAGGCAGGAAGAGGCACCGTCAAGGCTCACCCCTGTTCCTGCCCCCGACTGCTCCCTGACTCAGCACTGCCGGGAAGGACCATGGGATCAATAAGGTCGTGGAGATGACGGCACAGCCGGGGCTCCCATGGCCAGCGGGTGTCCTGCGGACACCTGAAAGCGGCGGAACAGGGGCAGCTTGGGGTGAGCACTGAGGGGCACCGCCAGGAGGGTTTGGCTGCTGGGAAAGGCAATGCCGAGGGTATAGAGAGCAGCAGTGCCCTGACGCTGCCCCGTGCGCCCATGCTGGGTGGGTAAGGCTCAGCGGGGTCCGCCCAGCACACAGCTACCGGCTCGGGCTCTCTTGGGCAACCGTGGGCACGACAACTCTGTAGCCACGCAGACCCTGCTTCCCTGCACACCTCCCTGGCCCTGCCGGTCTGGATGCCTTTGCCAGGGCAAAGTACCATTCGCCTTGGGCACTGTCCCAACTGGAGGCCCGCGAAAAGCACCTTTGCCCGTGATGTTTGAGGGCCGTGGGCAATGAAGAGCAGTGGAGTGACTGGGGACACAGAGGGGAAGGAGGACACCCCAGGACAATGGGACATCCTGGTGCCAGCGGGGAGGCTTCGAGTTGTAAACATGGGGCTAAGGTTGCAGGCGAGGGAGATACCTTATCTTGGGGGCAGAGGGCCGGGGACATGCAGTGCGGGGAGAAGCGTGCCCGGCTGGCTCCTCTGGGAGCTCCTACAGGCTGGGCATCCCTTCCCAGAGATGGGGGGTGCTGCCAAGGGGTGGTGAGGTGTCTGCAGAAGTCCTGCCCTGGGGGTGGGGGCTCAGCTAGGCTTCTCCAGAGCCGGAGGGGGGCTGAGGGTGACATCCCAAACAGGAGACAGCACCCCAAACAGGGCACCGCAGAGTTCTGCCGCCCTGAGCAGGGCAGCACCCCCAGATCCCCAAAATACCCGGGTGTTCCATCGCGCCTCGTCGCGTCCTGTGCCACACCGGTGTCCCGTGCCCGCCCGGTGTCCCCGGTACTCACCAAGGTCTGCTCATATTGCAGCGCTCGCTGCGCCTCGCTCTCGGAGGCCATGGTGCCGCCGCTCCGCTCCGCGCCGTCCCGGTGCCGCTGCCGGTGCCCGCGGCGACCGCGGCTCCTCCCGGACCGCGCGGGGCGGGCCCGGGGCACTGCCCGGGGGAGGGATCCGCCACGCTCCGCCTCCGCCGGCAGCGCCCGGCACCGGCGGCGCCCGGTACCGGCACCGGGGCGCTGGGCACCCAGTGCCCGGCTGGGTCAAGGGGAGTCCGGCCAGAAGCTCTGTCCTGTGGCGGGACCCCCTCCACCGTGGCCTTTGCCCGGGATGGCAGCAGTGGGCAACCAGTGGGTGCAGGTGAGGGTAAAAGCTGGCGTGGGTGGCGTGACCACGGGCCAAATTCCCCCGGGACACATTGCTCTCTCTTCCCACAGGTACAAGGGGCTGGCGTGGGGCTGGATGCTGCTTCCCCGTGGGTTCCCCCTGGTGAGATATGGGAGGACCGTGCTGGGGCTCCACAGACAGTCACTTCCATGCTCGTGGCCATGCCTGCCTGGGGGACAGACTGGTGGGGCAGAGTGCCTGAGATCTGTCTTGTCATGAAGGGCACGAGGGCACCTGACAATGCCCAAGGAGGGCAGGGCACCTTGGCATTGTGGGGACTTCACCACCCCACAGCTGTCAGGGAGCTCATTCTTACCGTGATGCTGCTCAGCGTCCCGGGACTGTCAGCCCCCAGGGAGAGAGGTGGGCTCCACTCTTCGTTGCTGAACTCGCTGGGTAGCAGAGGCTCAGTCCTCTCCAGAGAGGCACACGGGTAGAACTTGGCACCAGCAATCCTTGGGCAAGGGGCTCCGGCATGGCAGGCTGGCTGCCGGGACCTCTGTCTCACTGCCACCACGGGCCCAGGGGCAACCGAGGCAGCTCGCAGGGCCACGCTCACCCTCCTCTCCAGGGCACAGGATGGCACCTTTGTGGCAAGAACTGGGTGCAGGGAAAGCCAGAGCTGTGGCACTGCTGGGCTGGTGCTGCAGGATCGGGAATGGGCTAGTTCTCACTGCCCAGGTGCCACCCTCTGGTTTGACGTCAGCACCCCCAAGGGTGGGTGATAATGGATGGGCTGGGGGCTGGGATATGTCCTGTGCCAGTTTGGGAGGGTTCATTGCCCGACATGAACCAGTTTGAAGCAGGGAGGTGACAAAATGGGTTGCCCGCTCATTGTATCCCCAGGCACGGAGCTCCCTCCTTGCTCGTCAGCTCCTGGCACTGCCCCGTGGCAGCAGGGATGTTCATCCGGAGGGGAAGCCCTGTGCCAGGACACATCCTCTGCCCACTGCCACCAGCGTGCCTGGCTGTGGGCCACCAGTACACTACGAGGCCACCACAGGTGATGCCACCCTGCTGGCACAGTTGCCTGCATGGCTGTGGGTGCATGCAGGGCAGGACTAGCATGCCAGGCTCTGTCCCAGCCCAGTGTACTCCAGTGCCATCCTTCTATTGCTCTACCACTACTCCAGTCTAGCCTAGTACAGGCTGACACTGTCCCACTGTAGTGTTGTGGTTGTGCCACCATGCTGTACTGCAATCCCAGCAGAGCCTGGTGTTACTTTCCCTACAGCTCTGGCACTGTTTCAGTATAGCCCAGTATAGCTCTGACTGTCCCTGTCATGCCATGTATACCAGCACAGTACAAATGGCTCCAGAGATCCCCTCAGTTCTCCACGTTAGGGATCAAAGGGCAGGCAGCAGCATTGGGTCTCCCATGGCCCCATGAGGCCTTAGTCCAGTGCAGCTGTACTGGAGTGACTCGGGTTGTGCTGCCCCAGAGCCCTGCACAACCATGGGTGTCTGTGCCCACCCTGGGCACGTGGCTGGTTATGGGTGCTGCAGGACAAGGGCCTCCATGGGTGGCAGCTGGACTGGGGCCCCAGGCTGGGCTCTTTGTGCCACCATGGAGGTGTGGGGAACAGAGTCCTGTGCTAGTGGGCACCATCACCAAGCACTGTGTTAGCAGCCTCCACTGTGGGCAGAGGTTGGCATTGTGGCTCCAGCTGTGGGCACTGTACACTGCTTTGGTCTTCTCCAGTGCCACTCCACAGCCCATTGGAATATCCTCATCCTGGCACTGGATTCACACCCCATATCCCCAAATATACATCCCCAACCCCAGCAACCAAGGCCTGCAAGTTCCCCATGGGATGCAAGGGCATAGCCCTGTGCATGCTGCTGCTAGGAAGAGACAGGAACCAGGTGGGCAATAGCTCTGGTTTTAATAAATACACCTTGGCCCCCATCCACTGGCACCATAAATTATGTGAGAAACCCAGCTGAGACAGGGTGGGTGCAGTAGACAGGGGCCAGAGGGACTTTACACTATGTACAACATGGGCACGAGGCCCGCCGGCCAGGGGGGCTTGGAGTGGCAGGGCAGTGGGTGCCCCAAGCTCCATGAGCCCAGCCACTGCCCACTGGCACGAATGGGTAGGGCAGTCCTGGCATTGCAGTCGTGCTGAGATGGGGTGCCCAGGCTGGGGGCCTGGCCATGTGCACCCCACTGTGCTCCTCTGTGCCCCCCGCCCTGCACGGGCAGGGGCAATAAGTAGTGGGGTCCCCCCATGCCGTCCAGCGTCGCTGCGTGCTTGCCCCGCTCTAGGCAGCAGTCACTGCTCAGTGGCTCCGTGACTCCACCTTGGCATCGTGGACCTTCTCCCGTGCATCTGAGGGGGCATCCAGGGCTGGGGGGGGAAAGTGGGGCTGAGAGATGGGCACAGTGGGTGCCAGGAGGGCACTTGCAGTGGTTGTGCCAGCCCTGGCTCAGCACCAAGGAGACTGGGAGGTGCAGGGGCTGCCACAGAGTGTTTGGGCAGTGCTGCCTATGTGTGAGCACTGCACTCACCACGGCACTTGGCACAGCAGGGGTTGTCCCTCGTGGCAGGGCTAGCGCAGGCGGATGGGGGACACTCCTGGCGCTGGCAGTGCGTCTCCCCTGACTGGGGAACAGAAAGAGGGGCTGAGCACCAGGGTGGGGCTCCAGTGCTGCCTTCCCCTGGTGCTGCCCCAGGCTGGCACACTCACCACACACCAGCACAGGATACACTTCATTTCTCCAAAGGGGGGCACAGAGGGGTGCCAGCTCTCATTGTTGAGGTACCAGCGACGCCCAAAGCGGCATGCCCGCGGTGCATCTGCCTGCATGGAGTCAGCCAGCTCCGGGACACTCTTCTCTGGGGCTGCAGGAAAGGGCACTGGGAGGATGCTCGCCTGTGGCAAGGCAGCCTGTGGCATTGCCAGTGGGGGCATACAGGAGCTATTCAGGGAGAAGAGAGGGCAGGAATGGGGTGCAGGTACCTGGGCACTGCTTGCAGCAGTCAGAGGGGCTGGCGCGCACAGGGTTGGCACAGGTGAGCCGTGGGCACTGCACCTTCTCACAGTGCACTTCACCTGTGGTGCCCTGCAGGGAGGGCACGGGGCTCATGGGAGGCACAGGGCACTTAGCTCCCCATGCCCTCCCCATCCCCAGTTTGAGCCTCAAACTCTTTGAGCTACAGTGCCTGGGAACTGAGAGCACCCATAGGTGCCAGACCAGGTTGGGGGGCAAGTCTGGAACCCACACTCACCTTGCAGGTACAAATGGCACATTTGATGAGGCCAAACGGGGGCACAACAGGGTGCCAGCGAGTGCCAGAGCCCCGCCATGTCTTGTCACCATCGAAGTAGCAGCCTGGGAGAGGAAGAATAAGAAGTCACAGCCCTTGTGACTCAGCCTTTGCAGAGCTGCCCACTCAGCCCATGCCCACAAGGACTCACCCTCACTACTGTCCCGTGCCCGCTCCAGCTTCAGCTCTTCCTCCTCTGTCTTCTTCTCTACAAGGAAGAGGAAGGCCGTGAGGAGGAGCACACGGTGCCAGCAGCAAAGTCTCAGAGAGGGACCCCTACCTTGTTTTCACAAGGAGCCCCCCTAGCCCATCCCCCAGGTACCTTCACAGATGGGGCAGCACAGCTCTTCGGGGTGCACCTGGTGGGTACAGTTGAGGGGCTGGCACAAGATGGGGTCGCAGATCACTGTGCGCTTCTGGGGACAGCAGGGATGGGGCTCATTACTAGAGGGGCATTACTGATGGGTGCTGCCCCTACAGCACAAACCCCAGCTTGTACCTGGCAGCTGCAGATGGAGCACTTCTTGTCATAGTCAGGTGCCCAGCGGGTGCCATGTGCCCGGTGCTGACCCTCAAAAAAGCAAGAGTTGGGGTCCTTCTTCAGCTGCTCCAAATCCCTGGTCTTGGTGCTCTCAGAGAGCTCAGCCTGCCCCAGGGACTCCCCTGGGGCCAGGCGGGTCCTTCCTGCATGGCACTGGTTGGGAATGTGCACCTGGAGGGGACAATGAGCAGGAGGTCACTTCTCATGATGATGCCTGGCTGCCTTCCATGGTCCGGGCTGGTGGAGGAGCCACCCACGACTGATCCTGCACCCCTCCACCCTGCGCCAGGCAGGCCACCCGGCCACAGGCAGCAGTGGGGATGGGTAGGGGTGCCCTGCCCCGACAAGGACCTACCCGTCCCCTCATCTCCCCATTGGGGTGTGCTTTGGTGCTGACTTGCAGGAAAGCAGTGCCCTGTGCCAGGTGTTGCAGCAGGTCGGCATCCAGGTCCTTCACCACGCCCTGAGCCTGTCGTGGCAAGAGGGGCACCAGGGTGGGGATAACGTCTGGCCCAGTCCCTCCTGTGTAGTGCCCTGAGCAGGTGCCCACCTCACCTCAGTGCTGTAGAAGCCTTTGAGCAGGCGCTTGTGCTGGTGGGGGCGGGTGCCCATCTCGCCCAGCTCGGCCACCCCATGGATGTGGGCACTGACAGTGCCATCGCTCGGGCGTCCCAGCCCCGCCACCGAGATCTCATAGTGCAGGTGGCAGTGCTCATCCAGCGAGAGCCAGGCGTGCCCCCCAGCACCACTGTGCACTGGAGGGGACACCAGCTGCCCTGCCAGTGCCACGGGCATCTCTGCACACAGACAGGGACCGTAGGAGAGTGTGGGTGGTGTGTGGGAGGGCTGCCCCACTGCCCCCCATTACCACCCCATGT